ACTATAACAATCTCTATTTCGAAGACTTGATTCAAAACGAATTTACATAGACTTCTTCTCTCCTATATTCGAGTGAGGACTTCTTCTTGAGCGAATCCCGGAAACATCAGGATTCAATTCCGCGAGTATACTATATTCTACTACTCTACTTGGACTTTTAAGAAGAAAGTAGTACACAAGAGAAGAAAGAAAGTGAGAGAAAGAGAAAGAGAGAATACTATAGTAAGACAGGTGGTAGGAAACAGCCGCATCTTTATTAGATTGAACTTACGGAGCCATGCGACAACCTAACTCGCTTTACGTCTTCCGTGAAATTGTAAACTGTGACGGGTCGACAAAACAGCAAAGTTTCTTCAACTCTGCTTTCTTAGCTACGTTCGAACTTGTTGGCAGCTTAACTTTCGAGAAGGAAGCAATGAAACGGAACCGTGAGACCCATCCGTTGAAGTACCAAATGCTTCTAACTCGGCCTGATTACCCTTCAACGTGAGTAGCCGAACGAGAAGATATATCTATTCGCTTGGTTTAGGAGAACATCGTCGAGTCGAACTACTATGCCAATCTCAACACCGCAAACTATTTCGGATATTTAGAGGAATGTTAATATTCTCTATTAACTAATTATAAGATCTTTACGAAAATGAAGTATACTTATAAGCAAAATTCTAATTTAATAATTTAATTATACATTACATTTATATATAAATATAAATATACTACGTGTCATATGTGTGTGTATATGTGATAAATATAAGAAACGAGCTATTCGACTTGGATTTTATTGAACAATACAAAATCTGTTTAGAGAAAAGATAAGCGAACAATTCCGAATGGTATTTCTCTCCCCGACTAGTTTAGCTAGTTTAGTTTAATCACGATACAATAACTTTTAATATCTCAATTATTTATTTATAATATCAACTTTACCCGACATGAGTTCGCCAAGGTAGGCCTCCACCCGGAGATCCGAATGGGGGACTATTTAACTTCCGGAAAATTTTACCCTAATAGAATCCATGGTGGTCTTTTTTGATACTTGATAAAGTCGTTTTACAGTGTGGACTAATCAAACCTACACCCAATTCCCGAACAGGAGGGCCAATTCCAATCGGCTGTCCGCGACTGCTTATTCTATTTATTCGCAGCTAACCTCCGTCCCTATCTGAGATAAAGAGGCCCTTCCTCTATCCGCAACCTAAGGACACGCTGTGTGTCATGGTGACTGGGACCCATCCACCCCGGAGACCACTAAAACTAGTTTTCCTCCCCCGAAACTAGCAGCTGTTATGCTAACACAGATTTGTTTATAATATATGCAAGATAAACATTAAATCAAAAGAAGATCAAAGAAAAACAATACCTTAGCCAATATTTCTTCCTTGTCCGGTCCAAGAGAGCGATCAGGTTTTGGTATAGGCAAACTTCTATAATCTTCGATAGTATATGGTCTATAAGTAGGCTTTTTAACCAATCTACTATCGGAAAGAGTACTTTTGAAGGGCGTTCGTATTCTAGTAAAATTATCTGAACTCTTTGGTGAATCCGCAGAGACGCAAAGAGGACGCAAGGTCTCGCAGGATCTGATGGTTTGAGGCAACCGCGTCGCGGAACGCTCGATGAGACGCCGGTAGAAGCTGAGTTCGCTTTGATCGTCCCTTGAGAAGCCGGAAAAGGAGATACGACCACCTCCTTCTTCCTCCATTCCTCCTACTACAAGTTTCTCGCGTAGACTGTCTCCGTAAATCGACAGGTTCGATCCCTCTGGAGATCGAATAACACGTTTGTAACGCGGCAGACCTGAAATCGAGAAAAACAGTGAGATACTTCGTTCAACCTACCAACGTCTTCGTCCTCTTAAAATCGACACGTGTAATGTTTCAACCGTTTCAGATATTACAAGTGTAAGTGTAAAATCATGTGTACAAAATAAAATCTAATATTTCTCAGAATAGACGTTGATAAATATAAAATGGAATAGATAAAAACATCATTCAAAATATCTTTTGACATATTTTCAACATAAATCCGATAGACACCCTTCCACCTTTCAAAATCTCATCTTAATGTGATTTTATCCACGCGTTTACTTAAACTTACGGACATTTGTCTCATCCAAATTAGTTCCGCACGCCTAACTCAATGCCTTTGGACTACATCGAGCTTCCAAAGTGCTCCTACCTCCATATTTAATGGCGCCATTTCTCTTCGTGAAATATTATCGTGTAGGTATCCGCGTGCTCATAATATTAAGAAGAGATTACAACAGGAGAAAAAAAGAGGATGGGATTCATCTCGATGCGACGAGATTACCTCTCTTTTCTCTTTCCACTTTCTCTCTCCTTTTCTCTTTTCTCCAGCCCTTTTTATAAACTTTACGATCGAGAAAGACGACGTCTAATCAGGAACAAAGAATACACTTTTCCGAAAACGCTTCCTTTATCCCTCCTCACTTGTTCTGTCGGAGCTTTCGTAAGAAGCCAAGACTTTACGTTCGTAAAGGGAATGAACAAACTATAACCATTACCGAGCTAAAATAAATGTAAGTGGATTCTCTCTCTTTCTCTCTCTTTCTCTCTCTCTCTCTCTCTCTCTCTCTCTCTCTCTCTCTCTGGAAAAACAACTAAATCAGAATTTTATTATGTAGAAAAGGCGAGTGCCAGAATTGCTCGTGGTAAATTCAAATGAAAGGACCGAATGTAATTGTATACGTTACGGTAAATTTAACAGCTTCATCATCTAAGTCCCATAAAAACAAGGTTTAAAAAAACATAACAAAATAAAATATAAAAAAAGGAATTATTTTAAAAAGAATAATCACTCATAAATAAATTTTGATTAAAATACAGATTAAAAGTAACTAACTCAATCTATGTCGATAAACTTCCAGATAAGATACTTCAGGCTTTTTGAAGGTCTGCACATCTGACGTTGATAACATGTTGGCTAACTTTCTATGAGCCTTCACGGTCATCTCGGTAGTAGCTTTCTCATCGTCGATGCTGTCGACATGGAAACTGCATTTCGTTGAAGAAGAAGAAGGTGCAGTCTTTGAGAAAAATCCCATGGGTTTTCCTGAGAGACGATCATCCTCTTTTTTCTCCACCCTTCTTTCATTCGCGTTCTTCTTTCTTTCTTCGTTACGATTGGCGCTCTTGTGCCTCTCCTTCCTTTTCACTTCCGCTTTTTCTATTTCTTTTCTTCTTGTCGTCGTCGTCGTCGTCGTCGAGAATCCTAACCGTCGAGACCCTTTTGCAAGTTCTCCTTTAGCAATTATCGCATTCCTACCGCTGAAAGCGTTCGGTTTCCTGTCGTGACTACAGTTCTGCACGGTTTCATTAGATCCTTCGCCGTCTGAAAATATTTTTGTTCTTTTTTTCCCTTTCCTTCCCTGTTCTTTTATTTTCCTATCTTTTATTAGAGTAAAAAACATTTTCTATTAAAGACTTCTGTTCAATCGAGGATTTCTTTTTGCTTTATCGACGACATCGTTTATTACATATTTCTTTTTTTTCAACTGATTTCAACAACAACAACAACATGATAATGTTCAAGCTTGAGCTATAAACTTAAACCTTGCCATGTCTATTGATGTACGTAAAAATTCAATAGGAATTCATTTTAATATTAATGAGAGAATTAATATTTTATCGGAGATAATAAAATGCAGTATAACTCTTACTATTTATTGAAGACGATAATGGCGTAATGTGTTTCAAGTAAAAAGGAGAATGATTTTGTAATTTTACTGATGTCTCTTCTTTCCGCTTTAGGTTAATTATAATATTACTTTTATTGGATGTATTATCAATATTTAAATTACGATCTATGTTTTCTAAAGAATCAGCGGAATATATTGACATCGCAAAAACTATTCTTATTCATTGTTCATAATATAGTAATTATAAAATAATTAATCACAATTAAATAATAAAAGAAAAGTTTGCTATTGATATACCTATAAAATGGTATTACATTACATTCATAGATACTATATATATATATATATTAACGCTTTTATATTTAATAATTAAGACGTGTTTTGTTTTATTTAACGCAGTTATACAAATATCATTTTAGCTTTAAAATTTCTTACAATCATGTTAGACATTTGTTTAGTAATTAAAAACCTATTGTGATAATTGAAAATTACCCTAAAACACTATAAACAATTACAAAAATGAAAAACTTACAAATTCCATTATAATATACATCCTATTTTTAAAATGCTTACTATACTACCTAAATTTTTTATATTAATTTCAATTTAATATTTGAAATATTTACAAATAGAAATTATTAGTTAACAGTAAATATTATTAATTAAATAAATAAAAAAAATAATTATATATTATATTATTAATTAATATTATTAAGTAAATAATTTACATTTCTTTTTTTGCTATAATATTTTTGATTAATCAATTTTGTTTCCATTTTTTAATTAATAAGGTATATGATTATTAAATGTAAGACTTTCTCAATATTCAATTTAATTTAAACTACAGCCATGAGCCAAAAACTTTTGTTTTCAGGCCATGGAGATGAAAAGAAATAATTTCCGCAACACTGTATCTTTAAATGGAATTTATATTAGTGATTTTATTTCCAATTGTCCTTACAGTTGGTAACACCGACTTTCAATTGTACAATTAAAATATGTAAACCCGTGCATTAGTAGAATATCAATAAATAGTTTGTGTTTAGTGAAGTATTTTAAATCAATTAGTTTTGTTTCAATTTTATTATTGATAAAATTGAATGATTATTAAATATGAGTAAGACTAATAACAATAAGAAGAAAGCTTTTACAAAGGTAATATATATTTAGAGGTTATAACTATCTGAAACAAATTATTAAATAAAAAACGTTTTTTATCATTAATATATTATTTTTATAGAAAGAAAAAAAGAAAAATACTCTCGTACCTGAAACTAATTTAATTACTATTAAAAAAAGAAAGAAATTAAAGAACGTTGATGACATAAAAAAAAGAAATAATATACTTGATTATAAAAATATTGCTCTAAAAAAAGATGCTATTAATAATAATAAACCTAAAATAAAAAAAAAAAGGAAAAAAAACAAAAAACAACCGCAACAAGTTAATGGGAATGATACACAGAACAAAAAAGTTGTTAAAATGACATCTATGCCTCAACATGATCAAACCAAAGGATTAAAAAGAAAAAATGAAACAAGCACCGAAGTTCAGGAACAATTGGACATGGACCAACATTTACAAGAAGTGTGGAAAGAATATGGAAATTCAGTACAGAAGAGAAAAGAGGAAAATACGTTAAAGCAGAGGATGATGAATTTACTGAATCCATCAAGATTTAGATATATGAATGAAGTTCTGAATAATAATACTAGTACAGAATCTAAAAAATTATTTCAGAAAAACCCTAAATCTTTTATAAACTACCATGAGACCTATAAGCTACAAACTGTGCGTTGGGCCTTAAATCCATTAGATGTCATAATTGATTCGATTAATAAGATGTAAGTCCATTTTTTGTTTATAATATTCATAAGATTAATATTAACTTTTTCAATATTATCGGTTAATATCATTTTACATCTGTTTATAATTTTTTTTAACGCATTACATTTTCATATTCAATTCTTTATCTACTTTCCAATAAAATATTTGCATTGTATATATACTACTTATATGGTAAAATTTCTAGTAATAGTAGTTCTATCAAAAGCATTAATAGAGAGTATAAATTATATAAAAATATATTTTATGATTACAGGCCTAAAAATTATATAATAGCTGATTTTGGATGTGGCGATGCAACACTTGCTGAGTCAATTCAGCAGAAGACACATTCATTTGATTTTGTTTCTTTGAATGACAGAGTAATAGCTTGCGACATGGCTCATACACCGCTTTTAAGAGACAGCGTACACGTTGTTGTGTTCTGTTTGTCTTTAATGGGATCAAATCTATCTGATTATATACTCGAAGCAAATAGAGTTCTTAAAAAGGAGTAAGTAATACTTATATATTAAATATTATAACTTATGTGATACAATTACATATACATATGGAAAATTGTTATTTTTGTTTCAGTGGTATTTTGAAAATTGCTGAAGTTGAAAGTCGATTTGATAATATTGATGAGTTTATTAAACTATTAAAGATTTATGGTTTTTCTAATACTTGGAAGGACTTATCGAAGAATTTATTTTACTTTTTAGATTTTCAAAAAATCCAAGATATTACTACTACTAGTAAAAAAAATAAGCTGCCCAAAATTACCTTAAAATCATGTTTATACAAAAAGCGTTAAAATAGATATAATATGACAATTATATACATTGCTTCCTATCAAATAAATTCCATACAAATTTTTCTTCCTATCATATTTATTTTACTATAATACAGATATTTTTTTAAAATATCAAAATACTTATAACATAGATTTGTTCCATAAACTAACATTGTTCAATGTTTACTTTTCTTAGAGTAATACATTTAACATGATATGGTTAGTTAATGTATGTGCCGGCTTAAACAAAGTACTTATTTTACAGTACATTGTTCTGTACGGCACAATTCATAAGTTAATATTAAATGCAAATTATTTAAAAGTATATAAAATAATTTATCTTCACTCAATGAACAAATATAAACAATTTTTATAACTACAAAATAAAAATTGTAATAATAATTCACATATATACATTTTATTTATAATTTATAAAGTACTTCAGAATATTTTCAATTGACTCAGATCTATTTCTTCCAAAATGTCTTCTACTTCATCTTTCAAACTTTCTACTCTTTCTAAAACTAAAAGCTATAAAGCAAAATAAATTAAATTTGATCGCAATTATTTGATTATACACAATATATGAAATATTACCTAATAATAAACTTACATTAGCAGCAGTAATAATTTGTGTAGCAGTTCGTTTTGTAAGATACTGTATTTTTTGTCGCATCTCTTGTGGGTTTGCCTTAGCTATAGATTGCAAAGATTTATATCCAGCATTATATAACTGATATGCTCTACCCTATTAAAATAAAATTGTTTATATATGAAAAAAGGTTTTAATTTTGATAATTAATAGTAAATTAACATAATATACTATTTTCACTGTTGGTAGTTCCATTAATACTTCAAGTTCTGGAGGACAGCAATAAGATAATTTTTTACTAAAAGAATTGAATATTTCTTGAAATGCCCAAAATTCATCAAACTCCTGTAAGCAGAATTAAGAAGTACAATATTTATTTAACTAAACGTATAATAAAATAAATGAAAAATTTACCTTACAAAATCTAACAACAGAATAAGAAAAAGATGATACTGTGTTCAGTAAATTTTGAACAATTCCTCTATTTACTTGGTATTTATCAGCTACAGAATAAATCGTCTGATGATTCCATAATTCATAAATCATTAAAGTGACATAAAATCTCTGAAGCACTTTGAAATTTACGTTCTGTTTTAAAATATAATTTTTAATTTTAATTTAAAATAAAATATTTTTCATTTTATATGAAAATATCATACCATTGATGTTATTCCGCAATGCATTTTACTTATCATACATTCGTTTATTCCTATAAGTCTTACAATTTCCATTTGTACTTCTGACAGTTTTGTTATCTATAAAGAAAATTTTTATTCCTATTTAAAAAAAAATAAATAATTATAATTTCATGTAAACAATAAAATATTTAATTTACTTACTGTATCATAATAAACAGATTCTATTAGTTGTATTTGATTGACTATGTTATAAGGAGTTATCAAATATAAAAGATGAAGATAATCAGTTAAAATCAAATGTTTTTGTGCTTTTTTCAGATCCTCGTACAATTCATATGCGCAATGTAAATCTATACCAGCTTAAACATAATTTTATCTGATATTAAACAAAAAAAATCTTGAAAATTAATATTGTTAAATTTACTACAAATATCAAGTAAAAATAAATGAAAAATATTTTATAAATGATACCTTTCATAGCAGCACGCCCCAAATCACAAAGTTCTAATTTAGTTGTAGATGTTAGAGCTATTTTTGGCTTTTTCTTTATTATTTCAGGATTTTCTATAGACATACTTTCTTGAGATGGAATAGCGATATTTATAGAATTAACAATATTACATTTATCCATGTTACGAATTTTTAAAACACCATTTTTAAATAAAAGACTTATTGTTTGATCCATTATTTTTTTAATATCAATATTTAGACGTTTCTGCTGAACACTAAGTAAACTCTTCGCAATTAAAGTGTACAATTGAGATCGAGTTGTTGCTATAGATAATAATATAGCACTTAGAATAAGATTATTTATACCTCTGTCTTTCTCTATATGTAAAGTGCTTAATGAATCATCCATTTTAGAAATCAAAAGTTCCTTGACCTATGTGGTGTAGAACATATTTATATTAAATACTTAAAAACATATATATATATATAATAGTATTATACAATAAGTACCTTTGGAAGTTCATTACTCTTACAAATAAGTATACTTTCTCCAATATTTCCTAACCCAGCACGGCCGGCTCTTCCTATCATTTGTTTATATCTACTAATATTTAAAAATTGATTCCCAACATACGGACTTCTTAATATGACCTGTTAATTCATATTAAAGTAAAAAATGTAATAATTGTTCAAATATTTTTCTTTAATTTGAGCTACTTACTCTTCTTGCCGGTAAATTAATGCCTGCTGCTAAAGTTGATGTACAACATATTAAACATAGAATCTCGTCTCTAAAAGCATCCTCTAATAATCTTCTTTCTTCAGATGTAAGACCAGAATGATGATAAGCTACACCAAATTTGATTGTTTCTTTCAAAATTGGACATAAACCTTCCTCTTTTGTAAGTGCTTTCAATAATTTTTCTTTTTCTTCCATTTTATGCTTTTTTAAGGAACTACAATAAAATGTAACTTAATATAAATTACTTTTTACATCTTAAAGCATATTACATATTTGACTTAATCGATATATAGTATACCTGAATAACACTTTTGTCATAAGTATAGCAATATTTTCACAATTTTTTCGATTTGAACAAAATATAAGACATGAATCCTTTGGTACAATATCCATAACTAAACCACCTATTTTATCTGGATCTATTGCAATAGCTTTTTTTGAATACTTCAAAAAACAAGCATAATGATAAATATATATATGAAACAAAATAAAATATATATGTTATCATTAACTTACAGAATAATCTACTTTTCTCATGTCTGTTAATATTTCCTCCTTGTGTAAATCAATTAACCACATATCATCTTGACATTTAACATACTCTTGTATTTTAATAGGCCGAAAAGTTCCAGTATATAACTCTGCATTCAAAAACTGAGCTACCTCTTCTAAATTTCCTATAGTTGCACTCATACCAACTATCTGTATATTTTCTAAAAAATTATAAATTAAATTACGTATATAAAAACAAACTTTATGGAAACTATTATAAAATAGAAGTTATTGATTTAACCATTCATATACATCATTTTTGTAAGAAGACCTTCCAGTGTAGCACCTCGACCACCATTTTCACCAAGTAAATGTAATTCGTCAACTATCAAGAGACCTATCTGCAATTAAAACGAAGATTATACAAATATTTTATTTATAAATTTATTATATAAATTTACATTACTAGCATATTTGACTTACTTCATTTAGTCTTTGCAATTCTATTAGACTATTGATTAATCCTAATGCTTTTTCGATTGTACATATATAAATAGTATTCTTTTTATGTCGTTTTTTAGGGGGACACTGACCTTTAGTAGCAGCATATTCTTCCACCAAAAAACCTAATTTTATAGCAAATGGTGTCATTGCTTGTATCTAAACATCATGAAACAATGAACATATTTTTAAATACATAATACATAAAATTAAATTATTTTTTATATAATAAATAATATTATATACCTTTTCTTGTACTATTGCAACGAATGGAAGAATGAAGATAACATTCTTCTTATTACATACTATTTCTTTGAGCATTAAAATCTCTGCTACTAAAGTTTTACCTCCACTAGTTGGAAGAGCATAAATTAAATTTTTCCTATTTTTTATAGCATCTAATTGCAAACATTCATCCTGCCAACCTTGTTTGTAAAAATATATTATGTAAAAAATATAATGAATATCTGTTTATTTATATTATACTTACTGTATAATGTATCAAAACCTTTAATCTTATGAATTAAGTGTTTTACAATTATCGGAAGTCCATAAAAAGAATGAATGTTGTCAGCTTTATTATTAAACTGCATAGTATTTTCTATAACTTCTTCATAACTTAAACATAATTCTTTTATTGAATTACTATCATTTCTAATTTGTCTCCTATCCTCTATAATATTTACAATTGATTATATTTAATATATTTAATAATTCAATAATATATATATACATGGTATCCTGTAACTAGCGGTACAAGCGATTAGGGGGTGGTTCTACATAAAAAAAACTAAGTTAAAAAGGTAGAATAATGTTTCCTAAAAAAATAAATATAACAATTTATACCTCTTGTACCACCTGCAACAAGAGATCTTGTATAATTCGATTATATTTAAGATTAAGAATATTACCTGGGTTATCCTGTTCATTATATAGTTCAGTAAATGTCGTGTCGAATAAACTATTGTTTTTCCATACACATTCATCTTTCAAAAACTTGTCTGAAGTATTAATTAAATTGGTTGTTTCAATTTTATTACTTTTATTTTCAATTGATTGTCCTTTGCATAATTGTAACAGATTAGAAGTTGATGGTGTTTCAAAAGGTGTTTTTGCTTCTTCATCCTTAGCAGAGTTATAATTGTTAATTTCATTACAAATGTTCTCTTCAATATTTTTTAATATTGTATCATCCATTGAAAGAATAGAATTAATTGGATTTACAAATTTAGATGATATTTGTGCATTTTCTTCCTTTTTTATATTATTAGACAAATTATCAAATACATTTACATCAAACAATGAATTCAGATTAGTGGACATAATGTTATTTTCAGTACGACAAACAATTTTAAATCAAATCAAACTTAGTCAGATATTTTATGATAAAAATTTGTATAGAATTAAATAATTAGTACTTTTTTTTTTGACTCCTATATCTATATTAATATAAAGATCATTAATTATTTTCATTGAAGATGTTTATTCATATACTTCTGTACAAAAGCGTATGAATATCTTAACATTATAAATAAGTAATTTCAAATGAAATGAGAACGGTTATAAATAAACAATGATATATAGAACGCAACAACACACGTGTCAGATAACAGATAACAAATCAACCAATAAAAGTACAAAGTTTAGTTTACGTTATCATTAAGAATATAGTAGATTAACCAACAAGTAACTGCATTAGTTCTTAGTACAAACGTCTTTTGACAGGTGACGCCACTCAATATTTCTAAGTTATCATCTACACAAAGAACAATAAATATCGATCTTTGGAACTTTAATCGAAGAAAATATAATTATTTATTTTTTATATTATTAATTTAAGAAGAATAAGATGATTCAAAAGCATGACGCTATTTAAGATGCATTTTCTACAATAGGATGACTTCTTCATCATCATTCTTTTTATTACTGATATATATATATACGTATATATTTCTGAGGCACGTGACACGCACATACAGACTCATATATACATACATACATATACATATACCCAACAATATATTGTTTGATAGTAGAGCTTACAGCGCCTCCTCATGCGATAGTTGATTTGTAAAGATTCGGTGGAAACTTCGTATCGTCATCACAACAGCGCAACTGCTAAAGTTTATACGTTACTTGTTCGTAATATCAATCAATTTTTTGCTTATTTACGTTTAATAAAAAGCCTCAATTATACCAATTGGATATCAGCTTTTGAAAAGTCTTTGGAAGTGATCAAGTGTTTTGTAGTGATAGAAAATGAAGGAAACATTAATCGCGCTTTGCGCGATTTTATCTGGTAAGTATCGTCCTTTGTTCTTTAACGACGTAGTGGATTACTACGTCCATATCGATTGTTTATATTTTACAATAAGTAGTAAATTAATGACGTTAAAAGAACATTTTATGGTCCTATTTATTTTTTATCCTTTTAATTTTTTATATTTAAACACTTAAATTAATTCTTTTAATTGTATGCAATTTTCCCTCTCTCTCTCTCTCTCTCTCTCTCTTTCTATATATATATATATATTTAAATGAGTAATCATGATAATGATATTTTAAAGTCTGGTCATAGATTGTAATTTTATATTATTCAGAAAAAAGAAACTTATTCAGCAGACGAGAAAGGTGACTCAGACGTTAACAATGCACTTCTGGAAGCATTAATCATTTGAATGTATCTTTTAAATATGTTAAATTTATATATACAAGTATGAATATTACTAAGTAATTCATATTTATTAAGATAGTTACTTTTTTTAAATCTTTGTTTTGTAGTATCCACAGCTAGAGTAGTTATTACAGCAGAAGGAATAAATAATCCCAATAAATTGGGAGCTCAAGAATGCACATGGGGACCAGCTTATTGGTGTCAAAGCATAATGTAAGTTTAGTAATCTAAACATTTTATTGAAATAAATTTTATCTCATAGAAGAAAATAATATTAATTTTAAACCAATCATAACGGATCAAATAACTTTTTAAACTTAATTATAAGTATGCGCAAGATTTATCTAACATTATCAAAATCTATTGAATGCTAGATTTTAGTTTGTTTTTTTTTTTTATATATAACAGAACTTCTTCAAGTTGCCATGCCACTCATCATTGCATTAAGAATATTTGGGAGAAAATGGAAGTTCCGGAAGATAATGATACAGTTTGTGGAGTCTGTAAAGATATGGTACAACAGGCACGAGATCAACTGGAAAGTAATCAGACTCAAGAAGATTTGAAAGCAGTGTTTGAAGGAAGCTGCAAATTGATTCATATTAAACCAATAGTGACGGAATGCATGAAACTTGTTGATCAATTCATTCCTGAACTTGTGGAGACTCTAGCTTCTCAAATGAATCCATCTGTAGTATGTTCAGTAGCAGGTCTTTGTAATTCAGCGCATATTGATATGTTACTGCATGAATATCAAAAACAAACGTCAGAGGTAAGATTGTCATTATTCCTTATTTCACAATGTAAGCTTCTTTGTGTTTACAGCTGTGAACAAATAACTTATTGACAGATAAATACTTATGTGTAATATGACTGTTAGATATTTACGAATATTACAAGATTAGATATTGCTAAACATAGAACAAAGTTCAATATAAATAAGGAGTGAGCTAAGTCCTTATGTTTCGATGTAATACAATATTTTTATTAATATGATTATATTATTTTTTATGATATTATATTTTTAGAATATGAAATTAAAGTCCGTATCATTGGAGAAAGATGAACTTGAACCTGATGAATGTTCTAAATGTTTTACAATTGCAACTCACATGGAATATAATTTAAAGGATGTACCAAGGGATAAAATGTTGGAAGAAATGCTCAACATTTGTGGAGATTTCAGCTCATTTTCAGATGCTTGTTCGTCCATTATCCTCACTCACTTCAATGCAATTTATTCTCATCTCCAAGATAATTTTAATGCACAGAATTTATGCCATTTATCAGGCCAGTGTAGTGATAAATTTCATAAACATGAAAATGGAAATGTAAAAGTATATACGATAAATACTATTATACTATAACGAAACATATATAGTAAATTTAATATATACATTCTATTACAGCCTATAAATGTAGAAGTGAGACCACTTTCCAGCGTTGGTATGGTTGAAGTTAATGATGATCTTCCATGCAAATTATGTGAACAGCTTGTAGGTCATTTAAAAGATTTATTAGTAGCAAACACTACAGAAGCTGAATTTCATTTAGTGCTTCAGGGTCTTTGCAAACAAACAAAATCTTTTGCTACTGAGGTATGTATATTCTGCTTTTAAATAATTTTTATATTTATCTCATTAGTGAAATAGACAATTACAAAATTTAATTATCTGTTTATACAGTGTAGGGCGATTGTTGATGAATATTACCCAGAAATATACATGTATCTTACGAACAAGTTAAATGGCAATGCTGTATGTCAAATGTCTGGTATCTGCCCCCGTCCAGGAAAAAGAATAATTGTATATAATAATTATATGAAGCATTATTTCAAATTAATCAATAATCATTTAGTAGTTCAATATATATTTTGACTTTATTGTACAGGGTCCAATTGCACCCCTTCTTTCTGCAAAGGCAACCGAAATTGGCGTACGTATTTTGAATAATAAAATGGAAAAAGAGGTTGAGAAGAAACACGATACAGAAATAGAAGAAATGCAATTACCATTGGAAAGATACGGTGTTTCCTTCGGTAGTTCAATTGCATCAAAACAAGCAGGTTTTGAAAGTGAAGGATGTGCACTATGTGAATATATACTGCATTATGTACAAACCGCTATTACGGATCCTTCTAACGAGGTATTCATTATTTAATTAAGCTTTATAATGAAATTATATACAAATATTAATTAATTATTATTGTAATATATTTTAAAGGAAAAAGTGAAAGAAATTTTTGGAAAAATATGTAAAAAATTACCCGGTAATATTGAAAATGAGTGTCAACAATTTATTAACACTTACGGAGATGCAGTTGTAGCTCTTTTAGCTCAAGAAATCGATCCATCTCAGGTAATTGAATAATTTTTTTAAAAACTATACAAAATGTTCGTACAACTTTTTAACATAAAATAAACATTACAAATATATATTACGAAATTTTTATTAGGTATGTCCAATGATCCATGTATGTCCATCAGAAAAGCTGATAGAAATCTGGAATGAAGCTCCTAAAGGGTATATAATTGAAACACATGATAAGCCAAGCTGTCCGTTGTGTTTGCTTGCTGTAACACAAATCTATAATACCATTAAGGATAATAAAACAGAGGTAATTACATTAAATCAATTAACTAGATTATTTATTTAGATATTTTTTTTTTACATATTTCCTTATGTCCAGATGAAAATAAAAGATGAGCTTAACAAATTATGCAATCATTTGCCAAACACTTTGATCGAGCAATGTGCAGACTTTGTAAAAGAGTACAGTACAGAACTAGTTGAAATGTTACTTGCTGATCTTACACCGCAAGAAATTTGTGTTTATATTAAATTGTGTAATCCACAAGAAGATGCAGGACCAAGAAACTTTTTCTTAACTGATAAAGATGGTGAAATAAGTAAGTCCAATTAATAATTAATTATTAAACAAATTTAGAATTAATGTAATATTATTTTTTTTTTTTAATAATTCAGTGACAAATGAGATACCTGATTTTCCACTACAAATGAGTACTAAAAATAAAGTACAAGATAGTGCGACATGCATTATTTGTGAATTCGTGATGCAGTATGTTGATAGAGCAATGAGCAAGAAAAAAAATAGAGATGAAATTGAAAATATCGTTTATTCTGCTTGCAAACATCTTCCAAAGACAATTTCTAAGGAATGTAACAAGTTCGTTAGCCAGTATGTCGATGTTGTGATACAAATTCTTTCAGAGGAAGTTTCACCGAAAGAAGTTTGTACGATGATCGATTTGTGTATGATTGATACAAAAAAATATAAGGTATGTGTATTCTTACGTTTCTTTGTTCTTATATCATAATAAGCTTGATTATATTTATATATATAAATAATATTTGTTTATAATCCTAACAGAATCTGTAGAAGAATGCGCTTTGTGTAAACTTCTGGATAATCCTAAAGTAGATAGCATATAAACACATAAGCAGTGATGCATCATGATATTTCTTTAGATAAGAAGCTGATTCTCATTGTAATAATATGTTAACATTTTATGTTCGTGACAATTAGCTTCAAAAAATATACTAAATAAAAATGAATCGATTGTCAAGAACATAGCGAATTAAAGGATCTTCCACCTACATTTCGCAACTATAAATTGTTTAATTTTATTGCAAATCGAAAAACATAATTATAAATAGATCGCTATTAATGTTGCTGCAAATAAATAGCTTTACCTTTAAATAAATTTAATTCAACACTCAATGATAATTATTACAATGAAATAAATTTAATCTCAGATTTCTTGATAATTTTTCATAAAAGTGAGATTATTTAGATGAACTTATGCGATTTATTCTTATTACAATATTTGCATTAGTTTAAAATTAATTGTGATAATAATAACATATTTTAAAATAAAATTTTTATGTCTCAATATCATTCATGGTTAATTATATATTCATAATTATAATCAAATATTTTGAGTTTCAATATTTTGTGAATTATGTAATCTATAACTGTGAATATTATTATACAACAACGGCATGTAATTCTATTATCAATTTAAAATATATTCCGTTTTAAAAACAATTTAGTAATAATAACATTTGCATTATCCGTAGTCTTTTTAACTTTTATTATTGTCTTCTTATCTATAGCAAGTAAATGCATGGAGAAAATCACATTATATACATCGCCTTACGTTATAATTTTTTATTTCATAAAAATACTCTAGAAATTTCAAAAAATTAAAAATTTTAGACATTTTATTTATTATTTTACTTAATTATTATTAGTGTTGTTTTTTCTCAATACTATTGATATATACATAATATAAAATATGTAGAAAATATAGCTTTATCTTAAATATGCATTATCTTTGATAAAATGTTCTAAGAGATTAACATCTTAGGCTGCAAAAAGAATGGTAGGTAAATACGACAATTTTATTGTTAATATAAAAAAAAAATAATTATTGATTTACATATATATGTGAAGCATTTAACATTTAATATTGTATTGCAAAAAATGCAAATTTTTGTCCATTCTGTTCACAGTCTTTATATCTTATACATTTTGTATTTTATAGATCTTGTGCGTTTAAAATAAGAATTATCACAAATTCTTTTGGTACTTTATATCATCCATATTATGGACTCATCAATAATCTTCTTCTGATTGTATTAGTACATACATTAGGACTGAAAATTGAAAAAAATTATAAAAACAAAATTATTATTATTATTATTATTATTGTTTTATATTAGCTTAAAATTTTATCAAATAAATAAAATTTCAAACCTTTGCGGACTTTCACGTTTCATAACGAGTTGCATTTCATGTCGCCAACGATAAATGTTTGGGTATTTGTTAACATCAATAGGGGACGAGACAGCATTATAAACAGCATAATCTATTTTTGTTGGTACGTCCCTAAAAGGTATGATTCATATTAATTTATCATTTTTGATAGATAAATAATCGTATATAATTACAAATTAAATTATAGAGTATTTTCAAACATTATTTCCTATATTACTGACTTTTCAATAAACAATGTACTGCCTTCTTCAGCACTATACATATCATCTTCTGAATCAGAATTTATCAATGGTGGAGTTGATGGTGGAGTGAAAAATTGTGCACCAACTATGAACCATAAGTAGCATTAATTAATTAATCATAATAAATAAATACTCATATACATGCATATTACTTATCTTATAAATTGGATAAATCATTACCATTATTTATTATGTCAAGTTTATTTTGTGAATCGTTCCATAAATCTGTAATTCCTGATAGGTTCAATAAATCTAAATATAAATATATTATTAGGAAATATTGAAAAGAAATGTTAAAATTTATTATATTGCTATTTTTTTATTAATATTTTTTTAATGTTTGTACAAAAAAAAAGCAACTGACTTACTTCCGTCATTATCATTTTCATCGGATTTGTTCAATAACGAAATTGATTGTAATTTAAGGCATAATTTATCGAGCTCCTCAACGAATTCTGGTTGTGCATTTATACTGGATTCATTAGTTGTTTTCTATAAGATAAAAAATATATGTGTATATGTGTGTATATATGTAAATGTGTACAATTCAATGCTTGCACATACTTTATCATAATAATATGACTGTTTAGCAAATCTTTGTTCCAAATATTTTTCCAGCTTCATCAAACCGTCGACACAACGAAAATCAGCAAAATCATTCAAGAAATGCCAATATTCTTTCCAAGATACTTGATATTCTTCAGCAAGATTTCTATAAAATAAGGTTTTAAATAATTCATTATAATTTCTTATGTAGGATTGTAAAATATTTATACACACCGTCCGATACGTTCAAGTCCCTTTTCTGTATCTTGAAGTCTTAATGTTAAATTTTCATTGGAAGAATTTAAAATATTTATATCTTGAATATCTCTCTTAATAGGAGTATTACAACGACGCGGTGGTGTTTTCCATTTTCTCCTAAATTCTATTGCTTGTGTCTTTGACATAGGTCCAGCAAATGCACGTACCTTGACACATGGACTTATAGGATCCCTATTTAAATTCTAAAATTATATTTAAAAGTTGTAATATGATCTTAAATAATTATGAATACAATGTTTATAACACATATACCAATGGGCTTGTTGGAGAAAATGGTTCACCGATGGTTGGTTGCATTGTTTTATCATCAGCTCTTAATACAGGAACATAAAATTGTTCTTCTAATAGCATATGTATTTCTTTTTTGAGAGATTCATTTTCTTGACCCTTTCTACTGCATATTATCTACAATAATTACAAAGAGTATTAAAGTAATGTAAAAAAAAAAAAAATAAAACATAGCAGGAAGATTTTCTTAATTGTATTTACATTAGCAGGTGTTTGATTGAACTTATTAGTTAAAGTTTTAATACATTGTGAATAAGAAACAAGAACTTTAACTACATCTCGGAAACCAAATTTAACTGCAAAATGTAAAGGTGTCTCATTTAATCCTTTGTCAGGTGTATTTAAATATAAATCTAATATAATTTCTGCCCGGTCCACATAGCTTCTATTTCCTTCTTCGCCATAAAACAATTGTATGAATTCTGTATCTCCTACAGTGTTTAATATCAATTCACACATATCTGCTCTACCAGTTTTAACAGCTATGTGCAATGCATTATACCGACAGCCTTCCTATAGGAGTAGATGATATTTATAATTATTGTAGTTGTATATAATTATCTGATGATTTTATAAATACAAAATAATATTTACATACTTGTAAAATTGCAGGTGTATCTCCGCTGCCAATTAAATACCTAGGATTTGCCCAAATTGTATCTTTAACTGCATTTAAATCTCCACTTTCTATTAATTTTTTAAAACAAATAAGATCTTGAGATTTAGGAGCTTTAAAATTATTTGGTTTTTCTTCAATTACAGGATGGGTTCCTGCATTAACACTATTTTTGGCACAGTTGTATGTTTGTTCATGTCCACTTACAGCATATTCTTTAGCATCCAAATAAGACTTAAATGTTTTCAAACGTCCTGTTTTATGTTCCTTTATTACTTTTAAAGCATCAATTTTGTTTGTATAAATATGAAGGTAATCTATAATACATAAATATATTTAAACTAACTTTGATAATATGAAATTTTTAAAAAGTATATAAATAATTTTTTTTTAATTACTTTCTGTATTATTATCTATTAATAATTCATTGTTTTCATGTGGTATGTAAACAGAATGAAATTCAGTCTCAGTTGAGAGGTTATAATATTTTAAAGGTTCATTATCCATTTGTGACATTTTATCGTTTTAATTAATCCGATTAATCGTTACACTTTATATTCAATCATGCACATACTGTATAAAACATATAGTTTAATAATAATCACAATATCTATTTTTTATATAATAATAATGCTACAAAGAAAACAGTAGCAACTATATATCCGATAGTAAAGAATGTATAATATTATACGTATGAAAATACTAATAAATAGTCACGTTTGTTAAAACACTACTAATATATCATTCAATTTATAAATATAAATGACAAATAAAAATTTGTATTAAAATATCCCACTTTCTTAAAATGAACTCTTAAAATTGTTAGCATCACCAAATTGACCAATCAAATATTATCAATCGTTTGTTTTAACACGTCACTTTTTAGTGTGCTTACATTTGAATGCAATTACATGTATTGATCAAAAACTTCTGTATTTTGTTAGTAAAATGAATGTAATTATTTTCCTAATTATATGCTTCAATTATTTTTTCATATAATAATACAAAAATTTAATAACAATTTAAATTTACAATGGATATATGTTAGCATACATAAGAAATAAAAACTCGCGCGGGACCCAAATTTTAGTTCGTTTACACAATTATAATAAAGATATTATGTAAAAACAAAATAAAAATAAAAAACCATACAAAATAGAATAATTTCAATTTTACGATTGAGATGTCCAGAAAGTAATAAAAATATTTCAACGCTTTCAATTTGTTTTCTTTGTACTATAGGAAATTAGCGGTTGAATTATTGACTTTTGATTGGTTGTTGGTCATCTTTTTATCTAATTGAATTTCATTAAATAAAAGTATTAAAACGATTTAAACTTATTTAATGGAATATTCACGATTCGTAATCACTTGACTTTTAGAGCATGCACTTAAGAGTACAATTTATGAAAGACCAATAAGATTTTTAAAATAATAATTAAAACAAATAAATGTCATAAAAATCATCGTATTTTACTTTTATATATATTAACCACGGAGCCTAGATAACAGGAGGGCGATCGCAATGTATTAGAAATGTTTGAAAATGACGGGCAGATATTTTACCACTAGAGCGCGTTAGTGTGGCTAATATCAGGTTTTTAAAACCTTGTTTATTGTCGCAGAAATGTAACAACTGTACTCACGCGTTAGTCAAAATAAATTAATCAAATCTTATAATTAACGTTAAAAATAGCAATAAGAAAAAATTTTTTATTATTTTACAATTATTCCCAAGATATTATCGTCAACTTGTTGTGTAAATCTATTCAATTTCATCTTACCTAGTCGCAGTTTAGTAAAGGATAGAAAACTAAATTTAAAAAGTCCAATTAAAAGTAAATTGTAATTTATTATCATAAATTGCACTTTTTACAAGACTAGACTTTTTACTATTTGCATCATTGCATATTTTTATATTAGTAATTAATAACTATCAATTAAGGTTATATTACCTGTGGTAAAGTGAATAAAGACGTATTTCTCTGATTTAATTTAGCATTCTTATTACGATCCTTGACTCGTCCACTTGTACACCCGTGAACAATACATTTATTTATCATTTTTAAATAAATATTACTTTTTATAAATTAAAGAAACATTAATACAATTGCTAATGATGCAGTATTGTCATCAATTGTCAATGAAAAATTTGACGTTATAAACTTGACATTAGCGAACATAACGAAACCTAGCGGTATTTTCGAAAATAATCTTTCCTTTTCTTTCCAGTCGCGTTTGCTAGTTATTTTCCTATGTCGAATGCCCTCCTAGTATCTAGGCTCTGTGTCAACCATCTTCGCGACAGCCGCAGAAAGCAACTGTACCAACCAGTGATTATTTTATTACCGAAATATTGCTAATGCACCAACGTGCATTGTATTGTCCAGAGCATTTGCTCATGTTCTATTGTTAATTTTTTTATTGGTTCATTTGTTCAATTATTTACTACTCGTTAACTTTCTCATCTATTTATTTTCTCGATCATCATTCTAGAATTACTATCTCGCCGAATCACGTGTTAATATTTACTTTGCCTTACCGGCAGCCATTGTACAAAGTAAGAAAACACCACATTGCAGCAAGTTTTTGGATATTTAATAGCTCTTACCCGCCCTTTTATGTATACACACATATATGTATGTTCTTTTTTAATATTATATATTACATTGTTAGTTTACTTATCGTTTTTAAAAATTAATAGATTTATTAAAAAATATATAAAAAAATTATTAGATTTATTTAAAAGTGCAACAAGTGAGAAACACATGTCACAATTGATTATTATTGCTATTATATATATATATATATATATATATATTATATGTTAGATTAATATATAATTATGTTACTTATATTTTTCAGTTGTAAATATAATTAAAAATAAATAAAATGCAAGACCAATTAAAAGAACTGGCAATAGCCTTATACGATATTGGTGCTGTAAAATTTGGTGAATTTATTACTAAAGTTGGTCTAAAGACACCTGTATATTTTGATTTGCGTGTTATGATAGCATTTCCTCAAATAATGGTAAAATATATTATTATTACATATTACGAAATACATGTTTTAACAAAATAATAATATAACATTTCTCTTTTATAGTCTAAATTATCGAAAGCTCTTTGGCAATTATCAAATACTCAAATCGATACAACTCAACTTTGTGGAGTACCTTATACTGCTCTTCCATTAGCTACTTTGATTTCAACAGAATACAATATTCCAATGTTGATAAAGAGAAAAGAAGCTAAGAACTATGGTACAAAAAAGCTTATAGAAGGTAATTTTAAGTCAGGTGACCACTGCATAATAATTGAAGATGTAATTACTAGTGGAAGTAGCGTTTTAGAAACTGTAAACGCTTTAAAAGAGGAGGGTTTAATTGTAACAGAAGTTTTAGTAGTAATTGATAGGGAACAGGGTGGAAGAAAAAATCTTGAGGATAAAGGAATAAAAGTGCGAAGTCTTTATGATGTAACTCTGTTAATGAATTATTTGTTGGATTATGGTAAAGTTACACAAGAAATTGTAAAAGATGTAGCAAGTTATTTAAAATCTTGTCAAACATCTTTTGCCTCTTTGACGGGTAATTATTTTTATACCTTTTTTCATATTTAGAGTTATTTCTATTTAAGATAATAAAATTGTATACCTATTTTAGAAAATGTAGTGAACAAAAGATTGGAAACACCATTTAGCATACGTGCAAATCAAACCAAGAATGCAGTGGCTTTTAAATTGTTTCAACTAATGGAAGCAAAACAATCCACTTTGTGTTTGGCAGCTGATTTGACAAAAACAAATTCTATTTTAGAATTGATTGAACTCGCTGGACCACATATTGTGATTTTAAAAATACATGTGGACATTATAGAAGATTTTTCTTCCAACTTTGTAAAACGTTTAAAGGAACTAGCGAAAGAAAATGAATTTTTAATTATGGAAGATAGAAAATTTGCAGATATTGGTAATACAGTTTTATTACAATATAAAAAGGGAATATATAAAATAGCAGAATGGGCTGATATTATCACAGTACATCCAGTTGCTGGACCTGCTATTATAGACGGTTTGCAAAGTGCCTTAAATGGAATTACTGAACCTCGCGCTATATTTTTGGTAGCTGAAATGTCTGCAAAGAATGCTTTAACTACTGGGGATTATGTACAAAAGGCATTGTCGATTTCTAAAGAATCAGATATGGTGATTGGTCTGGTATGCCAATCAAATATTATTTCAGATTTAGGAATGCTTCAATTAACACCTGGTGTTAAATTATACAACAATTGTGATAACTTAGGTCAACAGTACAATACACCTGAATCAGTTGTTAATTCGGGAGCTGATGTAGCTGTTGTTGGTAGAGGTATTATCGAAGCAACAGATCAATTAGCTACTGTATTAGAATATAAAAAACAACTTTGGACAGCTTATAAGAAAAGATTGTTGAGATAAGTAAAGTGTAATTTATATATATATATAAGAATTTTTCTATTGAATATGATACTATAAGCATAATTATATTAATAAAAAAATCAGTAAGTAAAATATTTGTTATATAGAAAATTGACGATATTAATTGATCAAATATATTATGTACATTTTATTATTTGTACAAGATAAGTTTAAAATTGTACTCTCTCCGTATCTAATGCATACATAAATACACACTTAGTACTGGTGCTATGTAAAACATTTGATTTTATATTAAAAAATATAGATTATTTTTATTTTGTATTTTACAATTTTATAATTTCAAGCCTCCTTACTTTTAGTTACTTCTTCAACTAATTTTCGGAATACTTGTGCCACTTGACTTTTGGGAAAAGTAATTAAGACACTTTGACCTTTATCTGCTAATCTACCAATTTGAGGATCTATAGGTACTTTAACTAAAAATGGCACCTTTACCATTTCTGAAAGCGCTACTCCTCCACCAGATGAAAATATATTTGTACACTCCTAAAAAAAAAGAAGTAAGAAAATAATATTTACTATTATGAACAACTAAGTATTTAAATAGCTTTTAATAGAAACACTTACTTCACAAGACGGACAAACAAACCCGCTCATATTCTCCACAATACCAATTATAGGAATTCCAGTTTTCCTACAAAATGTAACTTCTCTCAAAACATCATCAACTGCAACTGCTTGTGGAGTTGTAACTAGAATTGCACCATCGCATTTGACATTTCTGAAATTAGCTTTACTGACATGAAATTTGTATAAATAATGTATAAATGTTTGTAATGAATTCTTAAAGTGTATATAGAATAACATTAAAATCATAAAGATAATTTTTACTTTAAGTTTTCCATCACTGTGATATGTTCATCTGAAGTACCAGGCGGCGTATCAATAATTAAGTAGTCGATATTTTGCCATACTACATCTGTTAAAAATTGCTTAATCATAGCTGTTTTTTTAGGACCACGCCAGATAACACTATCATTTTGATTTTTTAATAAAAAACCAATTGACATGACAGATAGTTTCTGTTCTGTATCAGCAAATACCGGTACCCAACTATAAGGCATATAAAATTGTTTATTTTTATATCATTATTTCATTAAACTAAAAACTAATGTAAACAAATAATTAATAGAAATCTTTAGCTTACCCATCGGATGATTGATGTACATCTTTACCCTCTAAGTTTAATAAATATGGTACACTGGGACCACAAAGATCTACATCTAACAGGCCGACCTAATAACATTTTAATATTTACCCCTTCTAACCTAATTGCACTTATAGATTAATTTTGACAACTCACATTAAACCCAGATTCTTTAAGTGCAAGGGCCAGTTGTGTACTAATTGTTGATTTACCTACACCACCTTTCCCAGATAGAACTAATACAACGTGTTTTACTCCTTCTAACATCTTGTAACATAAAAATATAAACAAATTATAACTCAGTAGTATAGTAACATACTGTTTACAGTTTTCCCTAGCTAGATAGTATTGTGTTACACTAATCGATATACGTATATCTAAGCATTGATTGGTTGAAACTTTTGCGTTTAATTTAAAAGTAGAATTTGAAATTCTATCGATGACATCGCAACTGAATTGATTGAAATTTTAATATTATTTATTATTATTAATGTTTAATAAATATTAATAGTTTATAAAATTTAATAAGAAATGTATATTTTGTGTATATTTTTTTAATTATTTCAAAGTGATATTTGAAACGTCACACGATTCAGAAATAATCAATAAGCGTGCACCTGTTTATGATTACAATGCAAAATGGTATCTATATTTTTCTTTTTATATTGGATATATATACATATGATTAAATATAAATTTTAAGAAGAAATATTTGTATATATACATATTCATTAAATTTATTCTTAATTACAGATTTTGTCAAGATCAAAACCAGCCTCGTCAGAGGGAACAAGAAAATCTGTATCGCGTACTAATGTACCAAAGTTAGAAGAATTTTTGGAAAAACGTGATTACATTGGTGCTTTAACTCTTTTAGAATTTAACAGTACCTCTGATAGTAATGTAGAATCTCAATTATGGATGGGTTATTGCGCCTTTCATCTCGGAGATTATAAGCGAGCTTTAACTATCTATCAAAATCTCAAAAAAAAAGATAATATTCTAGCAGATCTAATTACAAACTTAGCATGTTGTTATTTTTATCTTGGCATGTATCCGGAAGCACACCAATGTTTGGAAGAAGCACCTAATAGTAAATTGAAGACAAGACTTTTATTTCATTTAGCACACAAAATGGGCAATGAAGCAAAGTTACTGGAGTATCATCAAATGTTACACGATGTTTTAGAAGATCAACTTAGTTTGGCATCCATACATTATCTTAGAGCACATTATCAGGAAGCCATTGATGTTTATAAACGGATATTACTTGATAACAGGTTGAGTATTCAATTGTTATATCAGAAAAAAATATTAATTTAATGGAGACAATTTTTAGAACTAATATTTTGATAATTATGAGTATTCTTACTTAAAAATAAGTATTTTTTGGAATATTTAGTTCTTTATTTATTAATCAATTTTATATGAATTTAGCAAAGTGGATGAAAGAAAAGAAAACAATTTTATTCATGAAACTAACTCAGAAGTATATTTTATTATTCGATTAAAAAATTGCAGGTATCCATTTCCCATCCTATTTGCATCCTTAATATTTGATCCAATACGTTTTCTATTATACACCTATATTGTTTATAACTATTATTTTTAATAAAAATATTTGATAATTTTGTAATAATATTCATTTAAAAAATACTTTTTTTAATAAGTATTTGATTCTTTTCAGAGATTATGTAGCTTTAAACGTATATGTAGCATTATGCTACTATAAGTTAGATTATTACGATGTTGCACAAGAAGTTCTACAAGTGTACTTGCAAAAATTTCCAGATAGTGCAATTGCAATCAATTTAAAAGCTTGTAATCATTTTCGTTTGTATAATGGAAATGCTGCGCAAGCCGAAATGAAACAACTTATAGGAAAGATATCAAGTTCTTTTAGTTTTGGTCATGATCTTATTCGTCATAATACCGTTGTATGTACAATATTTTTTACTAATTAATGGAAAAAAATATGTTATAAATAATACAAAATGATTTTATCTTTAGTAATATAATCAATATCATAGGTATTTCGCAATGGAGAAGGAGCCTTACAAATTTTACCTAATTTAGTAGATGTTATACCAGAAGCTCGACTTAATTTGGTAATATATTATTTGAAGCAAGATGATATAAAGGAAGCATATGAGCTTATTAAAGATCTTGAACCTGCTGTTCCACAAGAATATATTTTAAAGGGCATAGTAAATGCTGTAATGGGTCAGGAAATTGGATCCGTAAGTTAATACATTTTTTAAAATTAATTAGATTATTGTAATATAAATATTCTTAAATTCAAAAAATAAAATAATAATTAATTTTAGCGTGACAATATAAAAACTGCTCAACAATATTTTCAATTAGTTGGTTCTTCTGCATCAGAATGTGATACCATACCTGGTAGACAGTGTATGGCATCTTGTTTTTTTCTATACCGTCAATTCGAAGAAGTTCTGGTTTATTTAAATTCGATCAAAACTTACTTTTCTAACGAAGATAATTTTAATTTTAATTATGCACAAGCACAATCTGCAGCAGGTTACTTTAAAGAGGCGGAAGAAGCTTTTTTGATGATACATAATGAAAAATACAAAAATGATTATATTTACATCAGTCTTCTATCTTATTGTTGTAAGTTTGATATGAATGTAATACAGATTTATATATATATTTTAAGTGATTTAATATTATAAATATTTATTGATTGAAATTATTTTATAAATAATTTAAATATTTTTAGATATTATGAATAAAAAAGCAGAACTTGCGTGGGAGTTATATTTAAAAATGGATACATCATCAGAGTCATTTAATTTATTGCAAATGATTGCAAATACTTGTTACAAAGTAGGTGAATTTTGGTATGCTGCTAAAGCATTTGATATGTTAGAACGTATGGATCCTAGTCCAGAACACTGGGAAGGTAAACGTGGAGCTTGTTGCGGTACATTTCAATATATCGTTGCAGAAAAACAACCAAAGTAAGTTTTATATATCATATGTTAGATAGTAGGAAAAAATATAGATTAATAAATAGATAAATTAATTTATAATTAATCGTATCTTTTTTTTTTTACAGAGATCTACTTTCTGAAGTAATTCTTTTACTCAGGAATACGTCTAATTCCCAAGTGGAACAAATTATTCGTGTTATGCGTAAATGGGGTAAAGATAATCGGATCAACTGTTAATGCTGTAATGTGTAATAGTTTGATAATCAATTCCGTCCATTATTAGTTTTGTTTTCTATTTGATTGCGGTATACTATATTGGTATAATATATATATATACTATATATTAATAAATAATTTCTTTCATATTTTATAAAAATATCGTTAATTTGCAATAATACAATGCAACAGTAATGGGACCAATATGAATGTTCAAAAAATGTTGTTAACCTGTTATGAAACAACACTGTTTGTGTTTGCTGATTTAATATAAAATAGATATATATTTAAACCGTGATACATTCATTTGTATAATAATAATTACGATATAATATTAGTAACTTTTAACAAACATAATTGAAGTATTTTTAAAATGCCATTATTTGTGGCGTAATATTTTTCTTCTACTTTTGTGTACGATTAATCGACGTCCTGTAGTATAGACTTTAAAAATGTTTAAACATATTTATATGTTATAAAGTAATTTGAATCATACACTTTTTTGAAAATATTTTTCTTGAATGAGTGCTGCAATGAAACTAAGAAAGAGATTTTTTATTCTCAATGTTCTTAATATAAAAAGAAGAACAAAACAAATTTCAATATTTGAATTTTTGTCGTAATATTCTATGAAAAAAAAAAAGAAAAAAAAAGAAAAAAAAGAAAATAAAAGTATATACTATTTTCAATAAAATTAAACTTAATCATTCGATTGATGATATTAAAAGATATT